TTAGGAATTTTGTACACAACTCATCACCACACCCAGGGGCTAGTTCTGTTCTTGGAAGATTTCCAGACGATGTTTATAATCAAACAATCGTATATATATATATATATATATTTTTTTTTTGGACAAGTATTTTTCTCTACGAATTGACAAATCAATGACTAATGCTAATGGTTGATTACATTAACGAATTTAAATCGAATCTCAAAATCTAGTATTTACAGCTTAAGTTTTCAAGCTTATCGAAAGGTAGTCAAGGAATAAAAATATTTTAATGAAGAATTAGGATCAGAAAACAATTTTTTAGCTGATGACACATTTGGTGACTGTTATGATCTCCAGCCAATTTCCTACCAAATTATTTATTTTCCTAATTTCATTGCGGTAAAAATAGGTTCTTATAAATACCTAAACTCTTAATATGGATAACCTAACATAGTCATGTGAAAGTAGTAAAAGTACTGAGCTTTTGTTTTGCTCACCTTTTCTTAAGCAGTTTTCCTATCTGTCTTTATAGGCCGTGTTCATTTGTCCATAAAAAGTTAGGAAAACTTCGAAATTTCGATTTCAATGAAAGACATCCAAGGTAAATTTTACTAAACCTGATATTGTGTTGGATTGTCTGTAGTTATCTTACGTTTTTTAAAGCACAGGCTTACCATCCGAAGTATCTGTGGTTTCGGATGTGTGGGCTCCCTGTGGTCTCTTATGAAGTTCCCCCGTTAATATAACTTTGAATTATCGAGTGATTTCAGCTTCTCAAAAATACATCTTCTAAAATCTTCCTAAGAATTAAATGCCGTCAAAATAAAGTTTAGTCATTCGCCTCATGAAATTTGAGTGTCATTACTTCGTCCGATGCGTTTTAGGGCCGGTTTTTGGCGTTTAGCGTGAGCTATGTTTGTGTGTGAGAGAGAGGAGAAGGAAGGGGAAGGCAGGCAACAAAATTCCACCACCGCTCGATCTATCCCATCAGAATTCAAATCCAAGAAAAATCTCACACAAAAAATACCACAGCACGATCGAAGAGATCCTAAGCTATACCTCAGCAGAATTTCACGCTCAAGACAAATTCTTTCTATCAGAAAAGGCAGGATTTTCGACCTTTTTGGCCATCGTAAAAGGATAGAGGACTCACTCGAGACGGAAGGAATTCGAAATATGCAGGCTAGTTTGAATCAGCCAATCAGCGCTTCGCTCATATCAACGCATCGATTACGCGGTCTACCGGAGAGAGGAGAATTATACCGTATTTACGAATAAAATTCTGGATGTGACGCAGGCTAATTTTTACCTTTCTGATTCGTTCAAATTGGGCTACCTGTAACTTTTGTATCGGGAGCTCCGCTTTTAGGCAGTGCCTAAAAATATATATATTAGGCTTTGAATCTCTTTAACTTAAAAACAAACGAAAGATAACTACAGATAATCCAATACAATATCAAGCTTGGTGAAATTTACCTCGGATGTCTTTCATTGAAGTTGAAAATCTGGAGATTTAGGACAAATCAAGACCAAAAAACAGACTTGGAAACTGGTTAAGGTGAGCAGAAAATAATCTTACTTTAATAATTACGTCATTTACAGAACGAGACGAGGTTACATTCAGCTAAACAGGTGCCAGTAGAATATTCGGCTGTGAAAATTATCTKCTGAAAGTAAACTTGTAAGTTTGTTTGTCCGATTTTTGTTTCGGCCCTCAGGCCGAAACAGTCACTACGCTTGGTTTGCCGGCCCATAATAGTCTCCGTGCGTGTCATTTAGCTGTCAGAGTTTTGGACCTAATCCAATCATATGCCGTTTCCATCATAAGCAATGGGAAAATGTAAAACATTTCACCATGCGGAGTATTTCAAAGAGTTGCGGTGAATCTTCTCTGTGTAGACTATATTATACCTTTTCGCATGACGCAAATTTTTTGGAAAAAAATATATTATTGATTAACCCTACGACAATGCGTATTTTATTCCTAAGTTAGTATCTAGGTCCAAGTCGCCAAGTAAGTTATTGAAAAGTTATCCAAAAGCTTTTGTGATTGTGCGGCAAATCAAGGCAACTTGCCAGTCTCAGCTGCCTGTGAGCATAAGATGAGAAAACTTGTGAGTTTATCTATGTAACTAACAGTTGATGCATATACATTTTGTGAAGCAAGCTTCCGATATGTTGTAGCTTCGTGCGCATCTGAGGACATGTTTTTGGTATCAGCTATTATTTAAACTAGGTCCCACAAACAAACAGTGCGTACTTTACAACTTTAAAGATAGAAGTCTGAAATCATCAGTTTTCATTTATTAATACTCTGATTTAAAGTATTATTTCTTGGATTCGGTAATATTTTTGAAGCACCAAAAGATGTAAATGTTTGAGGCACCAAAAGATGTAAATTTTGATTAGATTGGTGACGGCGCACAGGTCAAAGACAAGCCTTGTATCTTTTCGTTTGAATTGAGACTTTCGCATTGTCTTTAAGCTATGACATAAGAGCTAAATACATTTACCATAAATGTCAAAGAGCAGAATGAAGGTTTAAAAAGTATCCTACATTCAACATAGCGCGTACAGTAATGCTCATGTGCCAAAATATTTTACACCAAGTACTCTGCTCTCTGCGATACTCAGTCATTGTTTATATCTATTGTCGGRTCTCTCGTTCGTTCGGCGAGACGTTATATGTACATATATGTTTTTCCCCAAAACACTACGATGTTTCAAAGCAAGAACCACTAAAATCTCAAAAAAACTTAATTACGATGTGTTTCGTCCAAGAGAATTTTAAAACAAATGTTTCCGTCGAAATTTGCGTAACACTTTGCAACGTGAAAGCGTACCGCGAGATCGCTCGTCTGCCAAGACCAAAATTCTTTTCAGCAATGCCACACAATAAATAGATAACGGGCCGAAACATCATCGCTTTCGAAGCGGTATAGGCTTGTTGCCTTTGTCTTCGTTTTTATGACGTCACGGTTGCGCTGCGCTATTATAGAATAACTTTAATTCCCTAGTAAGAGCGATGGTATACTTAATCCGTGATTTGCTAATTCAGGTAAACATTGATTGCCGATCTCGAGTGTATTATAAACAAAAAATCGCACAATGTTTTGGTACAATTCAGAATTTATAGATACTCGTGATGTTTTGAAAGTTCTCAATTTTAATAACTTTCAAAACATCCTCTCCCTCTCACACCTATAATTCCGAATTGTACTCGAGATTGTTCGATTTCCTAGAAGAATATTCTAATCTGTAGAAGTAGGATATATGGAAAGTTTTTTATTTCAAAAGTCGTTATATAAAGATTGTGTAATTTAAACCTAGAATCGTCATGATTATGACTTGCAAAAAAATTAGCAACCACTTATTAGCTCCGAGAGTCGAGACTAATACCTTTCATGAGTAAACTGTTGTGAGTTTTTCAGCACTGTTGTGTTCTTTTGGCGATCGAACGATCCAATCTACAGTGGCAGCAGTCACCAAACAACAAAGCTGAAAATGACCATGATTAATGCTCCCAGTAATCAATAGGTTAAAATTACTTACCTCTTTGCTTGCTTTGGAAATCTAAAAAAATAATTCAGTGTTATCCCTTATGAAGGCTTCCTTAAATTGACTTCAAGTGTTTCTAAAAATACATATATTACATCACACCACGGAAGTTTTTAAGAAACATTTATCCTGCGAAAAAGAAATGCATTCGATAGATGTTGGTTCAAACCTTTCAATTAATCAATAAAACCGAAATTTTAGGTTCAATCCTAAAAACTCCAGTCAACCCTGGCTGTGGGTTAAAATATTCATCCACTCAACCAAAACTTGATAGAGGTAAATTCCCGGAGGGAAGAAAATGTATTGTTTTGGCACCCCATAATGACCGCTGTGACAACACGTGAAAACTCTCTACATTCCTTACTACAGCAAATTACAGCACAGTCATTATGCTCGTGCAACAAAATCCAAAACATGAAAACGTATTATCTCACAACGAAAACATATCAAGTTTTATTCTGAGTGTGATTGCGTAGTAAGTCACTCATGACTAATTTATGCTTATTTTACAAATGTTTACTAAGTTTGCATTTAGCCGATATTTTGGCGGTGTTAAGTTCTAACTAATTTGATTTGTTTCACGGGTATAATAACTGCGATGAAAACCTACTTGCAAGAAGGTTGTCATACAAGAATAGAACATTTGTAATTTAGTGAGAAAGGAATACATTAAAAGACAAAAGAAAAAGTTTAGCTTCAGTGATCTTCTTTTGTTGTTTTTTAATATAATTCCTATCTTACTAAATGATTAATGTTCTATTTTTGTACGTATAACGTTCTTGCAAGTGTGTGTATAGACAAGTACAATTTTGGCAAAGACTGAGCAAAGGCGAACTCGAAAAGAAATCAGTAAAACTTTAGCAGCAGTGAACGTGTACAATAGAAAGTCCACACGCAAGTCAACATTATTCATCCAACCACCTACAAATTGAAACTACTTATTTGCAAGCCTATACATGCAATAGTTTTGATATTCGATTTAAAGCCTGCCCAAACAAAATACATCAAAAGCATACGAGTGGTAAGCTTGTCCAATTTTGACTTGTTTTATTATAAATGCATTGTTTTTATATACTGAAGTGCTTTTGTCGCTTTGTCCAATTTTACTTTTTAACAAATATTTGGTTTTGTAGCCCGTTTACCTCCGTATAGCTAGCTGACAAATTTGGATGAGGTCCCTAGCTTTTCTTTCTTTTAAAGTGTATATATTGAGAATTTTTTTTTCAAAATCATTACATATGTGAATGGTGTAGTAGTATGGTTGCAGTATTTTTGTATGTGGACTTCTCTTTTCAAAGATATAAACATTTGAAATATCAATATGCAAATGAAATTAATTTATTATACAAAAATGCTGCTGTGGAAAGTACTGCTGTTCTTTTTTTCTTTTTTTCTTTTTCCTTTTTTGCTTTTGTTTTTTGTTGTTGTTGTTTTTTTTCATTCGAAAATCGCCTTTATACTGAAATATATGGTTTCGTACATTCTTTTTCAGTTCACTTCACAATTTGCATTGCTAATAATATACCTGAAAAATTGACTCAATTCTGATTGGCTGACAGCACTGTAGTTCAAATGAAATACCAGGGGAGGGCAGCGTGGTTTGTCACCACAGGAAGGCCGCGAACGACAACAATTGTTTGATATTGAAATGTCACTTTACCGGCACGAAAGTTGAAGCGAGATGTTGATACTTGGTTTCGAAACTTAAGAAAAAGCTTTCGCCTACTTTGTCCGTAAAGAAGTAAATAATACTTCTGTACAAAGAAAGCAGCTTATTCAACATTCCTTTGAGTGTTTAGGAATTGGAAAAAGAGGATATTTGATTTGTTTTCTCAAAAAATGTCAAAACATTTAAAGTTTTAAAAATGAAAAAGGATTTCTCTAAACATGTTTTAACTCTTTAAAGATCAAAAGCAATCTTTGTTATTCTGGTTTTTTTTTCCTGATATAATTTTTTTGAAAATTAATTATTGTTTTGTAAACCGATTTTTGACAAAAAACATCGCAAAAGAAATGACTGGTTCTTCGTTTCGTGCATTTTTTTCCAACACGTCTTTTTGCTTTCTAATTTGGTTGGAAATTTTTCATGTATACTATAAATAGGTAATAATATAGTTTCTCGTTCAATTTAGAAAAAAATTGCACTCGTTTGTTTTTGAGAGAGCCCAAATTGCGTCGAAAATGTAATTTTTCACTTGATATACACTTTTGAAATATATCTTTCTTTACTTCTTTTTTCTTTCCTTCTTTTTTCTTTTTTCTTTTCCTTTTTTCAAAACTTCCCATTTTGACGATTAAAGATTTCTTATTGAAAACTATTTTAATTTTGTTATTTTTCAAGATGACTACGGTCCAGCACATGTTATTTGTTCTTCTTCTGCAATTTGCGTGTTTGGACTCGTTTGATGCAAAACAATCGATACGTTCGATGAAGCATACGAATGGCTCTCACCCATGCCCTCAACCAACCGTGGGAAACTGTTCCTGTGAGTGGACTGGACCCTACCTCAAGGTCATGTGTGTTGGGCTCAACACCGTGCCAGAGAAAGTACCAGAGAGCGCAATATATATGTAAGCCAGTTATTTAGCATTCTCACACCCTTGAGAGGGCAAACCATATATGAAGGTCTTAATGATCAATAGATCAGTTGCGAATTCCAAATTACTGCTGTGTTTCTTCATAACAGACTCATTTGCACAGGGTAAGCCTCGTATCAGTGTCTAATTACTCGCAAATACCAATGGTAAAGTACTAAAGAATACACAACTTCAACAATACGAACACTTTGAAACTCGATGGACCTTGACTGGAACACGTGAATATTCTGCACAAACTCGAGGCTAACCCTGTGCAAATGAGTCTGTAATCAGGAAACACAGTGGTAATTGGAATTTGAAAAGGGTCTATTGTCAGTTAACTACTGATTTTTCAGGGTCATCCAGATCCTACGATTTTTGTATAAGGGGGAACCGGGCACGAGAATACTACACTTCATTCTTGTTCCCAGATCCTCCTCGGTTGTCGTTGTTCCACGTCAGAGGCTCTGGGAAACCCTACAAACGGAAGCAAGGAATATTGCAACCACGTCCACACGGCACATGCTTGAAGTCTTTCCAAGACAAGCCAAGACAGGCATGGACAAGCCTTTGGCTTTGTGAAATCTACAAATGGCGAACAAAAACTTCTATTTGTCTTCAATTATCCAATCAAAAAGTAGATCTATTGTTCTTTTTAAAAGCCAATCAAATTGCGAGAATTTGTAGGGTTTCCCAGAGTCTCTGACGAGGAGGAACGGCAACCGAGGAACGACAACCGAGGAGGATCTGGGAACGAGAGGGACTACAACTCCTTCTTACCATAAGTGATAAAAATTATGGTAAATAATACACCGTGAAAAGATAAAAAAATTTAAAATTTAAATTTCTTTTAAATATTTGCAGCTAAAACATAAGAAACAAGTGTCATAATTGAACTTCAATTGCAGAACATTTTKCAACGGWACCATCAAAGAAATTCCCCAGRACTTTTTTCTATCCTTCAAGAACCTCATTACTCTGTAAGTAGCAATATTATTACATAAATCTATAGTGTACTTTTCACGGTATATTTCACACGCACGCAAAACAGCACTTATTCTTTTTTCCTCTTTAACAACTATTTCAGAAAAGGTTGAATACTGAATGCTGCATACTGAATAGTGCATTCCAAGACCAAAGGGCATTGTGGGTCTCGTTAATTTGAAATAAAAAGTAAATATACAGCAATTAACTCTCTACTTGTAGTTAGTATATTGTTTCAGATGGAATACACTAAAAATAGAATAAATATTTATCATTATTACTACTTAAAACAATGTCTTTCATAACCCACAATGCACTTCGGCCTTGAAATGGACTATTCCACAGAGTATTCAACCTTTGTTGAAATAGCTGTAATACGATTTTTAGATATTACTACCTGTTTGTAGAGTTGTTAGAGGGTGCCAATGGAGATTCCTTCCTTTTTCAGAAACCTCAAGATCAACAAAATATCAAACAAGTTTTATCTTCCAAAAAGTGTGATCAACTTGTAAGATAATTTTAGTCTCTCTTAAAGTGTTATATTATAAACCGCCGGCGAGGGGGTGGGACAGGGTTTGGCAGTGGATTGAAAAAGCTTACCGTTCCGGCTCCTAAAGAGATATTATCTTTTGTTATGACACCCATTACTTCCCCTTCCCATAACTTTTTCCCCTTCCCATACTGGTTTTTGCTACTTCATGATCATTTTTGATCATTTTTGATTTGTGATCCATGTGATACCCTCTTCCCGCCAGCTCCTCTGACTTTCCTGTCTTTCCTAGGCTTTTAAATAGTGCCTGTCCCCGATTGGTCAAAAAGTCAAAAAGAACGAATAAAATAAAGAACTCTAAATTTTCGCCCCATGATTAACGATGAGCAAATTCGTTTGTTTGTTTGTTTGTTTGTTTGTTTGTTTGTTTGTTTGTTTGTTTGTTTGTTTGTTT